TACTGTATAACAGCATTATACGATTATTATTAGTCTATTATACAAAATATATTTAAATTAAAGTGTAAATATACAATATTTCTGTCTATAAGTATGTAATCAAAAATAAACTATTTCTGAGGACTTGTTTCCAAGAGTTTTGATGAATTAATTTTAGCGCAAATTTTGTTCACTTTATCGTAAACTGTGGTCCGTTTGGAAGCGTTTGTCTTCGCAATGAATTCATCAATTTGTGTCCACTTCTGAATGGAGTCCTTATGTTTCGACGCTTTACTTGAGTAGCATTTGATGAGTGCTTTGACCGAAAGACTGATCCTCGCGCTCAACAACTGCAGCAAACCGTCGATCTTTTGCTTCTCCTCATCGGTCTCAGAGTCCGTGAAGTCTATATCGTTAACGGTTAGTATGATTGCGAGAATGAGGTGAAGAGCCTTGAGTTTAGAGCCGAAGCCATTCAGTTGAGACAAATTGCGTTCGTGAAGACCTATCTGTTCCAAACACACCCTCACGTACTCCTCCTTATCGTTCAGGAGTTTATACATAAGCCGCGACTTCTCGTAATAATTGTTGGACGCGTTGTATATCTGTTTCCGTCGCTCACTCTCGTCGCTCTGAACAAGCAATTAATTGAATGACAGATAAATATGAATCAAATATCAAACACAAGTCAAATGTAAATACAAACCATATTTCTATAAGAGTTGTGGTGAAGCGATGCCAACCGATGACTAATAGTGGCCGTCCTGTACTGATACAACACATTACGCGAATTATCACATTTCTGGCCATTTTGACACAAATTCAACGCTTCGGTAAAGTATTTAGTGATCTCTTCCTCGACTATTTCAAAGGCAGAGGTGGAGAGTGGGGCGAAGTCTTGCATAAGGCATCCAATGGTGTACAGAGTTGTACACAATTCCCAATTGATATTATCGAAAGCGTTCATGTATTTGGATTGCGAGTCCACTCCCAACTCATTGAGAGCCGACTTATAGTAATCCATAGCTTTGATATAGAATTGTCTTTCTTTTGACGAGAACTCATCGGAACTGTTTTGCCTGAATGTGGGCGCGAAGATGTGGGCACAGGTTCTCATCAGACGACCCGTATTTGACAGCATTAGTGATGTGTTCTCTTTGTCGCCCACTTTTGTGAACAAGTCTACGGCTTCCCGAAAGTTGGTCAGACTTTTGGTGGTCAGTGCCTCCAAACGGTTCACTTCATTGTCGTTTAGATGATGTCGAGTCGAGTCGTTGCTTACAATTTGGTTGAAGTGTTTGAGCGATTCATTCATGTAATAGTTGGCCAATTCGTTGCAAATATATCCCAGTCTTTTGTACGGTTCACTTCATTGTCGTTTAGATGATGTCGAGTCGAGTCGTTGCTTACAATTTGGTTGAAGTGTTTGAGCGATTCATTCATGTAATAGTTGGCCAATTCGTTGCAAATATATCCCAGTCTTTTGGATAGCCTTTCCTGTAGAGTATTATTCTCTGTCTTTGCCTTATTTGTGGGCTTAATGTCATTCAATTGATATAAGGCCTCCTCATAGCACCGGTAGCACAGAATCAGTCTCTGTTCCACACTATTCTCACTATTAATCACAGGATTATAAGCCCAACGAAACTCTTCAATCAGTTGTTTTTCGCTAAGCTTTTCGAGTATTTCTGGTAATTTGTTAAACAATTCGTTCACTTCTTTCTCATTATCAGAATCAGACGATTCATCGGTAGTGAGCGAAGTGTTCAATATTTTCAGGTGAATATCACCGCAGAGTGCGAGCAGACAAGTGATGGGTTCCTTAAAATAGTTGGTTTGTCCGCTCTTTTCGATGATATCGAGTGCCGTCTCGTAACACATGACTCCCATTCGGATAAACTTAAGTGCTTTAAGACAATTGGTCTTAGAATTAGCCAATTCTGCTAAAATGCAAAACACTTGAGCCCCCTTTTGCAAGAGACACACTTCCAGACACGTCTTCCAGTTTGGTATCACTTGTGGTGCGATTTGAGTCAACTCTTTGCCAGTTATGGACCCGTTGTCACAATTGTCTTGATTTAGAGAATCGTAATTCAAAGGAATCGCTTCGTTAGGATTAGCCATCTTTTGTGACTCGTCTTTGGATGTCTTATAAAGGATTTCCTCTTGTTTTTGGACATTCGAGTGAAACAAAGAGTTGAGTCCTTCGACGATGTGTTTGAGAGCTCTCTCGCACTTCACACTCCACTCCAAACTGTTCTCCACATCGAAGTCACTGCTGGACTGCTTTGGTTTTCTCGGCCTTTCATTCGTATAAGAGTCGGGAAAACCTAATTTCTTGACTTCAAGTGTTGGCACATTTAGATCATCACTGGAACCGTCGCTCGAATCAAAGTCATCGAAGTCTTCAAAATCTTCTTCACTGCCATCGCTTCCAACGTTGCTATCACTGACTGATGGTAGGAGTGTTGGGTCGATATCATTGGGAATATAGACTTCGCTTAACAAATAATTAGCCGATGAGATAATCTGCGAGTGCTTCGTGGGATCTAATAGTGACAAACAGTTTGTCAAGAGTTTATGAATTTTGGAGTCAATGACCGGCGAGTGCTTCGACTGATTGGCGTCTTTCATATTCTTCGCCACTCTATACAAAAGCATTGCCACCGGAATGGCGAACGGATTCGAGTCGTTCTCTCGCATGTAATCCACGCAAAGAGTGGTCAGATCGTAGAGTTTGACGACATCGTCGTGTTTCCCTTTGAACAACCAATACGTGTGACCGGATTTGGTTGCCTTCGACTTCAGAAACGACAGTATATTTTGGGCGATATTTTGTACGACTTTCGGCGAAAACAGCGACCCTTTAGTCGCCGACATTTGAGGTATTTCTTCAGTTTTTATGAGTTCTGGAAATTTAAGTTTACGATTAAATGACTTCAGAATCAAAACAATTAAACAAATTATACCATATTTCTGAACGATTCCCTCCAAATGGTAACACATGACCACTTCGGGCACCGATGACATCAAGTTATCCAACCAGTAGTCAAGTCCTGTCAAGACATTGATGGGTCTCTTCATGTCGTGAAGTCTAAGACTGACCGCCGGGTGGTTGGAGTCACCAAATATAGGCATATTAGAGGCCACTAACATCCGGATGTCTTCGAAGGTCCACAAGACGTTACGCAAGAATCCGGGGAAACGTGTCTCAGAATTGTCTTCGATTTGATCCAATCGTTTGGCGATTATTTCCGACACTTGACTCTCTTTGTTGTAATGACTAAAATAGAAGTCTTTCTTCTCGTTGTCATCGCTTTTATGGCACTTATTATCGCTTTGGGAACTCTTTTTCGGTGATAACCGCAGCTTATCTTCAGGCGACTCCTTCGTCTGATTCTGGTTTTGATCGACAGAATAGTGCAGAAACTTACACAACATGTTCTTCGTCTGCAGCTCATCCCTCGTCTTCACCTTTTTGGTGATCATTGGCTTCGAGTTTGTCTTACAGTTAACTACATATCAAACCAAAAACACCATTAAATCAACACTTCTTGCGCCGCCACACAGTCTCGGATGCACTCACCGATCATGTCGTCGACGAACCTCTTGAGCCACGACCACTGTTTGCTCTCATTGAGGATCAGATGGTTAGCCAAATCAAACTCATCGATGAGCAGAGTATTGCCGATCCGGTGGACCATCAGTGAGATGAGCGTCGAGTCGAATGGCATTAACAGCAACTTCTTGATGCAATCGGACTCAGCGATCACATCAACACTTCCCACGCACTCGGGGAACGTGTTTGCCATCCGGAAGGACGACAGCATCGATGAGTTGGTCTTCTGGAGCGGATAACTCCAGTTGTGATCACCGAATCGGCCGCAGAGCCAGTTGTCCGGCGGTGTCTTCAGGTTTGTCTGTCAAGTCCTCAGAAATAGTTTATTTTTGATTACATACTTATAGACAGAAATATTGTATATTTACACTTTAATTTAAATATATTTTGTATAATAGACTAATAATAATCGTATAATGCTGTTATACAGTATTATTTATTACTAAATTGTTATTGAAATATAAATTACATAGTTAATAATTATAATTACTTTAACAAAATATATAATACTTTAATGATTTTTGTAATAAAGCGTTGATTTACTGAACAAACCTATGGAAAAATAAATGAGATGACAATTAATTGAATGAATACACAAATGAATGGACAGTTAGTGCGGAAGTAGTGGCCACACAATCAGACATCCAAGGAAGTAATAATTAATCAGTTTTAATCATTATTACAAATACATCATCATATCATTAGCCATTAGAACCGATTTCGGTGATAATAATCAATAGATATTTACCTATTAGTGAAGTACTATTGTGACCACAAATCAAATTACAATCAAATGACTGCATGAAAGGCACGTTTGAAAGTGAGAGAAGGAAATAGATCACTCTAAGGTTACGGACGATTTGTACACGTGTCTTAAACATAATTTTATAAGGCCTCTAAATCACGATCAAAAGGTGTTTATTGCTCTGTTACTTACGTTACTTACACAGATAATAATGCTCATTATACTGTAATTTAAATGACTTTTGCATTGTTTTTACAAATCATATGTTTTTTTGCACAACAAATACACTTATCTGTCATTCGCCGGATTCTGTGACTAAGAATTTCTTACAGAATATTCTGTAGTATAACGAAGAATATGAGCAAATGAGTGACAAAACAGTGGTAAACGAGTGAAGGCAAGCGTTGAACACATAATTTGTTGAGAATATCCAAAATAGTTGTGATTTTGTGTCGAAAAGACCTGAAAGAGTGTCAGAGATTGCGAAGAGATTGTATCGATCAGTGAGTGGAGGAACCAATCAATTGTCTGAAGGGCCGGAAGGCTCAGACAGGTTGTTGTGTTCGTAAACTTCCCGACCGTCAACAGCACAAACGCGGCTGTCAGACACGTTGTCAAAAAAACTACGTAAAAGTTCCTATATAGGTATCTAACCGTAGTGAAGTCTCTGAAAGGTTTGTTTAAGTAGTTTCATTCATTGCTCGTCCGCTCACCACAAGAAACGATCGCAAAATGGCTTCAAAACGGACCAAACTGTCCGAAGACGAGAGGAAGACTAAACTCAATCCACTCATTGATAACAAGTGGTCGTTGGATGACTCGGGAAGGGATGCCATCAAAAAGCATTTCCTATTCAAAGACTTTAACGAAGCGTTTGGTTTCATGACGAGAGTAGCCCTGAAGGCCGACCGCATGGATCATCACCCGGAGTGGTTCAATGTCTACAATAAGGTGGACATCACACTGTCATCGCATGATGTGAATGGGATCAGCGAACGCGACATCTCTTTGGCCACATTTATCGATCAGTGCTTTCAGTCCTATAAGTAATCTCTTCTGAAGAAGTGTTTAGAAATGTTTATTCAAACATGTATTCAATTATTGTTTATTATTATGGGTTAATAAATGTTAACATTTTAAGACTACAGCGTATTCGTGATAAAAGTTAATTAATTTTTTCGCTTAAACTTCTGCCTCTGTTTCGGTCTTTTGTTTTGATGTTTAGTTGTCTTATTTGTATTCTTCTTCGGCTCGAGTTTTGGTTTGTTTTTAGGTTTTTGTTTCTTCTTCTTTTTGGTCACAACCGGAACTCTTTCAGCACTTTCTTTCGGTTCACTCCTTTCGATCGCAACTATCGATCAAAATTAAATAAAATACTTATCATTCAATTAACCACTAAATCGACAATTGATCCCAACCTCCGACATCTTCTGTTTGCTGCGATCTATTGGTTTCTGTCTTATGTTTCGCACATTTGATGTTCAGTTCAGTTAAATAGTCGTCGAATGAATTGACGAGAATTGGTTTGGCCTTCAAATGCAATTCATATTCATATCACTGCATGACATACACTATAGTCTACTGCAAAGGCTATACCTTATAGTTTAGGATCTGCTCTCTTAGGACATCTTTGAGTGCAAATAATGCCGAATACAGGTCTGAGATGTAAACTATAATAGCCTTCGATATAACGCTACAAAAAACACAAAATTCATTACAATTTCGGAAAAATTATTACAAAATTAGATGAAATACTTGAGCCGTGATAACGAAGACGACATCATCAGGAAATGTGGCACAAGATGTCCGGTCCTAAGCCAAGGGGTGCAGTGACTGTACGGACATTAATGACTGACAATTCAATTTTGTATTCAATTAACTTTTGATTCAAATGAAAACCTGAAGGCGTTTTGCGAAACGAGTATAAATTTGCGGAGAATTTGCAGACTTTCCACAAACACTTGTAAAACGGATTCAATTTGTTGTCTAAACGGCAACACTATATGACCGCTGGATATGTCATAATTTTCCCTAAATTACAGCAAAACTATTAATCAAACATTCATTCAATCATAAGATCTAAGTATTAATTACTGACATAACAAGTGATGACATCTTATCGTTCATTACATCCGATAATTTCAATGCGAAGAAACTTTTCAGACATTTATTGGCCTTTAATTGGCGGACATATGAAATACAATTAAATAAACGATTAGTTTAAATGCCATAAATTGATAGTACAAACAAAGTGTTATACATGTTTGATAATCCGGGACACTTTAGCGTTTCTTAAGCGTATAGTAATCCTCTTCATAACACCGGTGAAGACAATGCACTCATCGGTGAGACAAACGCCGTTCAATAGAGCCGTCAGACTATTAAACCATTTCTTAATTGCATTCAAATCTGTGGACAAAAATCATATCAAATGAACAGTCATTTCAGTGAATGAGTGATTGAAAGCAAACCATATTTGCTTTGAATGGTCTGATATTCACTCCAATCGTATTTGTTTGACATTTCACTGCATTCAATGATAACTAATTGAAAACAAGCTAAACATTTAATGATTTAAAGTGATGTCAAAACACATTCAATATATTGTTTACAAAACTTGTATCATAAGTGTTGTGCGAATCACATGGTATGCATACAGCGCTCACTTTGAAAAGTGTTCACAACTTTTACATTCACGTAACACATCGTAATGTAATCGCCGGTAATGTCGGTAATGAATGCGATAATAATCAGGTCATTGAATACATTGATTACATGTCTACTCACACGGAGTGTCCACTTCTTGAGCGCAGTTGTCATTTAATTCATGTGCTTAATTCATTCATATCAAACTTATTTTATTAATCAGACATACAAAAGTTGAATTTCAAAAGTTTAAACAGTGTTTATTCAAAATTGAATTTATATATTAGTTATAAAAGTATATTGTATGACAATAATTGTATTATTTTATAATATTATTGTATATTATTATGAATGGTGTGAACATATAACTTGTTTTGAGCTCATGTTTGGAGAGAATATTGTAATTTATAGTAATAAACAATTAGTATAAGTAATCAATTGGAGTAAAAATGAGAACAGAATTGATTTTAAAAAACAATGGAGTTTATGAATTTGTGTGCCTTTGGAATAATCTCCGGAATAAAACATTTCATTTGTAAAAACAATAAATTAAAATTTCAATTAAATTAATAATATGGTCGCAATTATTTAAGTAAATCTAAAACAGTTATTTTCGACTAACAACTAATACAATATACTCTAACATTTGGGTCTAATACTAAAATCTATTATACTGTGAATACACTAATAATAGGAAATAATTTAATAATTAAAATGAGAGTTTACTATAGAATATCGAGATAATAGATTTGAGATTTAAATGATTCTTAATTCGTACTAATCGTGGCAATCATTACTGATTAGCCCCCGTTAACGCTGTTAATGATGTTGAGAGGAATGGCCTGTCCCTGGCCCTGAGCCAACTGATCACCGGCATTGGCGTGCATTTGATTGCGACCCACGTTTGCCACGGGCTGGTTGTCGTCTACCGCGTTGTTGCGGGCGATGGGCTGACGCTCTCTGTCGGCCGACCCGTTAATGTGAGCCTTACGATCGGGTTGACTGAAGTTGAATTTGAAGCCCAGACACATCGTCCGCAATACCAATTGGACGGACAGTGCGTTTCCTTCGCGCATTTGACGGATGACGGCCCACACGAGGGCTAACAATCCTATCGCTACGAACACAGAAAGTATGGCACCAGTGATGAGCCCAAACGTGGACCAATCAAATGCTTGTGAGGCTGTGGTTGCGGCCATGGGTGCGGAGGGGTGAAGGGAGGTGTTTGTGGTGGTGCCCGGGGTTGTCAAATCAGTTGGTTTGAATGTAGTGCCGATCGAAGCGGTTGACGGCTTGTTCAGCGGTATATTTAAGGCCTTACGGATGGTCTCACCCAATATGATCTGGGCCTCGGCGACCGGTACCATGAGTTGGGTCATCACTACGAGTCCAATCCATAGCTACAAATGCCATAAATATAATACAGTATATCATTGACACAATACAGTATTACTTATTTCTAAATTAATTGGCGTTTTATAATTTGATTATATTAAACATAGGATTTGAAAAGTTGTATTATATATGAATTAATTGGAAGCAAATGTATAGTTTATTAAATATATTAATTTATATTACACTGATCAATTATATAGCAGCTATAATTAATTTGCTTACTATTATAAATATTTATGTTCTAGGTTAGATTTTTCTTATTAATTAACATAGTGGAACAAAATAATCACAATAGTCAGTTATGTTGGGTTACTTGGAGTCGAGAAATCAATTATCACCTAAACTGTTCCAGGACATTAGGTTCATAGGTCATGTGATATATGATTGAAATCAGATCAATGAACAGGTACAGAAATTTAAATCTTGAACTATCTGCGAAGATATTCCTCCATGGTCAACAGAAGATAATTCCATCAGATCGAGTCCAAGAAGTGATATTATTTACTTACAGCAAGAGCTGATTCCAACCATATATAACATGACCTGTTCAATGGCCTGGAACTGTTTAGGTGATAGTCGATATCGGCGCTCATAAACTTAATGTGTAAGTGGATAAATTACTTGAATGCTTATACAGTATATGGTCGCCATCGTATGTACTATATATACGGCACAGTATTTGCCAATTTTGTAGTCCATACGGACCTCTCCCGCTACTGTACACAGCATTACAAGAAATAAGTGGTAAAGACTTAAATGTTAAGTCAATTCTTTATTAATAATTAGAAATAGTCGCTAACTACTATTTGTAAGACAATGAAAATACGAAAAAACTATGTTTTCAGATTATTTTTAAACAAGGTAGTTTTGAAATAAACGCCTCTGCACGAACATACAGTAGTTGACAACTCATTATTATTACTATAACCGTAGCATTAAATATTTTTACTTGTTAGATTTAATTTAACATAAATAGGTGTACAAAACAGAATTGACTATAACTTACACAATATTCAGAAAACATCATTTTGAGCACTTTATCCATTGATTGTCCAAACAATTAGTCGTTGACTGTAATAAATCACATTATAAATCAATTCATAACATAAAAATAATTAATAAATACAAGTATATTTAGTTTTAAATGTATATGAGATTTAAATGAGCTTGCCTTAACTATTAGAAATATATTTAAGTTAATAATAGTTAGCATATTACAGTATATGTGTTTTTTGATATAACAAAAACTAATTTATTAAATTCAACTCAATTACCAAATCATATAATCGTTACATAAAGCAATCAAGTTTTTAAAATAATTTCATAAAAATATAGAAACAAATGATATCTTAAAAAAATGAAATGAAAATTCTCTTCGAAACTAAAACAAAAATAATTGTTTTTTATTGCAAACACTAAATAGAAATATTGAAAAATCTCAAAATTCCGGATAAGTATATCATAAGGAATTAGACTTATATTTATTTTAAATTACAATTTCATTTATACAAATGTTAATATATGTTATAAGAAAAATAACTATTAGAATATTAAATATTAAACAAATTTTGTTAACATTAACAAACAACAAAAAAGTGATAGAAATTGATATTTAAATCAAAATACATACATTTAAAAGTTATAGATTGGACACAAATTTACTTAACAATAAACTCAAAATGAAATATACTTATGTATTATAAATAAGAATAGGTAAAAGTCTTTTTAAATAGTTGGTAAAAAGGGAATGTTGTAAAACATAATTTAGGAGCAAAGCCGCAGTATTTTGACCTAAGATTCAAAATTGTTAGTCATTTCTATCACTAATCTCTTGTAAAATAATTTTTGATGAAAACATATTCATCGATTCATTTGAAAAAGTATATAAATATTAAATAAATATTTTCAAAACCTTCATGCAAAATACTTTTGATTAATACAAATATGACTCAAATTAAAAATAAATTCAATAAATAAATCATAGTTTCAATAAATGCATTACTAAAACT